AAAAAATTTAAAAAATTTCATCATTCACTATTACCCACCATTGTCCCTCCCTTCATCTATTGCCACCACCAGCCTCCCCCTCTGCTCTTTCCCTCCTCTTCCCCTTGCTTCTCCTTCGTCATCCCCCTCTATCTTTCCTTATTTCCCTCCTTTTCCTTCTCTCCTCCTACAATCTCTCCCCTTTTTAGTTGCACTGGTCCTACTTGGCATAATTAGAGAAGGGGAGAGAAGGGAGGAAAAAGGGAGAGGGAAAGAATGGAAAAGAGAGGTGGGGGGAAAGCCGGAGTAAGAAAGGAAGGGAGGGAGAAAGAGAAAAATTGAAAAAAAAAAAAAGAGAGTAGGGTGGATGCCGACAATTGCTGTCGGTATTGGTGGATGATACTGGTGTGTGAAAGAAGAAACAAGTTTAAGATTCATTTTATTTTTTATTTTTTTAGTGTACTTGAATGTGTGTTTTTAGATTTGCTATGGGATTTGTTACCATAAACTCTAAAAATAGTTTGTGTAAAAAATAGTCAATCCAAGCACACTATATGAGTAATCAGTAAGTGCAACCAATTACTCCTAGAGTAGTTGGCTACTAAGAGAGTTTTAAGGTTCTACTTAGATGTAAGTCAAGAAGTCAAATTCCTTGATTTGTATTCTAATCCAAGATTTCTTGAAAAAATTTTGCCAGCGGATGTATAGGTATCCGTCTGAATCAGTGGTGATTCCCCTCAAGTTCTCCCCTTGATCCTCTTGGGTCCTCCTTCTCCCCTAGTGTAGATTAGGAGTAAGTATATATTAGAATCTATCGTGTCTGGCAAAAAATTTCTAATATAGAGTATGAGTAGATATATATTAAAATTGATCGTGTCCAATAAAAAAAAAAACAAAAATCAATGCGTGCGTTTTCTTTGTTTCTTGGGATAAACTAGACTACATTCCATTACCTTAAAAGGGAATCTACAGTGATTTAAGATGGGAGGTTGAGCTCACATCCTTGTCAACACTTTGGCAGATTAATTTGCAGCGGGAAATCGGCATCAATTGTCCCAAAAGTTAAAGCACTTCCTAGTTACCAAGAGTGAACAGAGATTGATGAGGTTTGTCCGTACAACGTCCGAAGATTTCATTGTCCGTCCGTACAGTTTTTGTCAGCCTCCTACCAATAACTAGGCGGCAGCTCAGCATCGTTGAGACAGCGTCAACTTGCTCATGTACTCTTCTGGCCGCAGTCGGTCTGGCTCATCGTATTATTAATGACTGTGACTTTCCTTTGCCATTTGCATTTTCTGTGGTACGAATTTTTCTACTTTGAGAAGATCTCATTGTCCTCGATTTTGGTATGGTTAGTTGGACCAATGTTTCCTTTGATTTCCTTTTTATTTGGGATAATGTATTGGTATGTTTTTTAAAATCTTAACCGTGAAAATATTCGAAAGTCATTTACCGTGTTCTGCAATTGGCAAAAAATCTGAATGTCCTTCTCCTTTTGAATTAATTATTTTTTGAAGTGTTTTTGAAATATTTTATATAATAATTTATATAAAAAAATTTTACTATAGATGCTTTTGAAATATATTTTGGAGTATTTTTAAAATTTAAAAAATATTTAGAATAGTTTTTAAAAAATTAACACTACCACTCATCACCACCACCGATCCTCCCTCCTCCCTCTTCCTTTTCCTTCTCTCCCCTCCTTCCCTTCCCTTACCCTCCTCTCCTCTCTCCTTTTCCATCACACCCCACCCCTCCCCTCCTTTAATACATGGCCTCGATGGGCATGGTAAGAAATGGGAGAGGAAAGGGAAGGTGAAGGGAGGAGGAAAGGGGAGGAAAGGAAGGTGAAGGAGCAGGAAGATGGAGGGAGAAGAAAGAGGAATGAGGGGATGGTGATGATACATGAAAGAAGAAGATGGTGTAAACTATTTGCATATTTTTTATTTTTTTTTGTATATTTAGAGTTTTTTTGATATATTGTATGGATTTAGTGTTTCTAGAGTTATTTTTATTTATGTATTATTGTAATATTATATATGAAAAACTTATTTTTCAAAAAATGAAGAATCCAAACAGAGTCAATGTTCAATTTTTAGCCATCTAACTATTAAACACATATTTTTGTCCCTCAAGCTTATAAAAAAATATACTCTCCACCCATTTTGTTAGAAATAATTTAAAAAATCTCTTCTAAGATTTATGATGATATCACTTGCTATTCTTGAAATATTAGAAATATCACTTAATTCCCATATCAGTGGAGATGGGACCATCGATCACTATCATAGCAGAATTGGCAAAACTATCCTTACAACTTTAACAAGTTTTAGGCAAAACATTATGGAAGATAAAAATTTTAAGCAAAACATGTAAATCTTATATTATAATCAAATTTGTAGAAAATTCAATATAAGACAATATAAAAGAGTGGAACCGGAAGAAATATATATATATATATATATTGTTAAACGATTATTGCAAGGGTATTTTAATGACACAAGAGCGAGATTGCTACAAAAGGTATGGTTTTATAGGTGGCTAGTGGTTATTTTAAAACTTTAGGAGTGCCAAGTAATGTTAACATACATCAAGGGTAGGGAATATACCCTTTTACAAGTTTGGGGAAGCAAAAGTATGCACTTAATAGTTAGAGGATTAAAAGTTGACCAACTTAATAATTAGAGAGCCATCCAAATTTTTTACCGTCTGCTTTTTTATACATTGGAAATTAGAGAATGAATAAATGAGAATTGAATTGTCACGTACTTGCTAAGGAGAGCTTGAATGTCTTTTATTTAAAGTGGCACATAGAGAAGGAATAAAGGAGAACTGAGTATGCCATATACTAAGAAAAGTCAAGTGCATTTAAGCTAAAGCGGCAATTGAACAAAGGTTAGTCTATAGTGATAAAATCAAAAGTTGAGATTTGGGGGTAAGGCTAACAAAGATGAACATTTGTGGTTGTTGAGGAAGTCTCCTTAAAGTTACGGTTGATACTCTGGAATCACGCATTTTAGATTCAAATCTCCCTTTTTACTTCTTAAATCTTATCTTTAACTTGATTATATATATATATAAACTAGTTTAGGCTGTAGTTTGGAGTCAAGCTTTGATCAAGTGAAGATCAAGCTTCAATCCTTGTTAGCGTTCCTCCATTCTTATTCAATAAACTTTATTTAAACATATATTGTGTTATGAATGATCGGTTAAGCCACATGATATTCACATTTATTTACTTGTTTATATTCTATTTATATTCATAGATCTCATGGCTAGTTATACTGTCTGATCTATTATTAATGACAGTCTGACTGCGACCCACTTCCCTACTTTTCTTGTTCATGCTTATTAATTTTCTTATTATTTTCCTGGTTTAGGGACCAACCCTCTTGCATATTTGTAAAAGGCTTAGAGGGTAAAATCTAATTTTTAGAAGGATATAATTTTGACATCTTAAGGAAATATAAGGCAGTTTATTTTATCGCCCTTCTCCTTTTTATCTGCCAGTGACCCTATTAACATCTAATGCCAGAGAAATATGCATACACCCTTTTGTATCATCTAATGCCAGAGAAAAATGCATACACCCTTTTGTATCATAAAAGTATTTCGCATGTTTGTAACTTTTCCGGATCCTGTCTTCTATAAATTAGAAACTCAAAAAAATAACATTGTTTCTTTTTTATTCTTTGGAGTGGCTAATGACCCGGAATATGACAGTAGTTAGTAGAGAAGATTTGACTACTTAATTGTGAGACAATTTTTAAATTTAAGGAATTATAAAAGGAGAAGAAGACAAAATATAACACGTGGCCTTTAAAACCTCTACCAATGTCCGTCCTAATCTTGTAATTATTTATTCATTCATTTTTTTTCTTTATAAAACATTGCGTCCCTTATTCTATGATGAAGAAAAAAGCACAAATTTTAACGCTACTATATTTTGATCATTTTAATGGTAATTCTATAAAATAAGATTTGACGGCATAAAAAGGCGGTGGGCTTTAATAATCAAAAAACACGTAGTCATACACAACTTTAATTGTTTCATCCCTAAAATTACCTGAAAATTGGACCAAAACTACCTGAAAATAGGAAGGACTAGAACATACAATTTGTACGTAATATACACATCACCAATTGCAATACAAGTAGCATTTTCAATATATATTTCATCCATCAATGTAGAAGCTGCTTTTGCCTCATAATTAGTAAGTTCGGCGCAGCTTGAAATAACATGCCTTTTACAGTAGTATAAAGAAAAGTGAGATAAACCATAAAAGAAGAAAAACAAGTTATACAAAATCATGTAGATTGATAAATTGTTCATCTTTTTTTTGGGACAATTTAACTATAGGAGGTCCGATAAACAGTTGCATTTCTACCTCCTTTACTTATCTCAGTGACAAGGGTTATTGACTAATTTTTAGTTCCACTCATCACTCTTCATATTGCAAATTCATTTTCTCCACAAAAATATAAATTGCTCAACAAATAGGTTTGCCATACACAAACTAAACATTAATGGTAGTAACACTTTTGGGAGGTGCTAAATTAAATCTCATAGCCCTTCACCTTAAATCCTCAACATTTGGTTCATTTATTACTTTATTGCTACCATTAAAAATTGTACAAAATGTGAATTTGAAATAGAGGTTCATAGGTTTAGGCCTTACCTAATACATTTATTTTTGTTTCCAAGTTTTCCCTTACGTCGGAGTTCCCTTCCCTATAAAGAATTCGGGTATTTTGTTAAAAGATGAAGAATGAATTTAGTAACTTCGATTATCCGTCCCTATCCAACATCATAAAGTTGGAATAGATGATTTTTTTTTTTTGGGTATATATATATATATAAATTAATAATGTTATGAGTAACAATAGTAATCTCTACCTTTTCTCGCAATTCCATATTTTCATTTAGGAGAATTTTCTCCTGAATTTTGGGATGGCATGCAAATTAAGAAGATTAACCATGCCAATTCACATGAAATGCACAAACTTTATTCTTTATGAAAATGCAAACGAATGAATAAGCAACTTCTGAATTTTCAAATGCGTATTTTACCTCTTTTTTCAGCTAATGAATGCGCTCCCAAAATAATTGGCTCCGCAGGAGAATTGAACATTCGATTTTGACCATCAAATTCTACATTCTGATCAAATCATTTTAGAGATGCCTATTGCAACACGTAACTTTCTTGACCTAATGATGCTTAAACTTTTCTCCAGTTGACCACCTATCTGTTGCAGTTCATCAACAGAGGAGGAATCTAAACCATCTCCCAAGAACTTTCTGCAACATACAAAAATTATGCTGTTTTTCATCTCCAAAAACTGCACGAAATTCGTGTTGTTGTACGATAAGGAATGAGTTGTGCTTAAAACTTAAAACGGGCCAACGTTAGGACAACAACCGTTTAGTTTCTTCATGAAGCTCAACTTTCTTTTTTCTCAGAATTGCAAACTCTTCTTCAAAATTCTGCACCCAAAAAAAAAAAAAAAAGAAGCTCAGCACGAATCAAAAGATGTAGCAGAATAAATTCGAAGACAAGATTCTTTAAGTCAAAGAATCAGTGTTGAATGAGATTCCCAGAATCAAGTGAATGTAAGACATTACAGCTATTCAATGCCAGTTCAAAGGATCTTGGCTGCCATTCCGAGAAATCAAGAAAGTGAATGCCATGAAAATGCTTATTTTGGATTTTGAACGCAATTCATAGGCTCATGTAACTAATATTTGATACCAGCACACAGTTAAACACTTAATACCCGCTATTCAAAGAAAATGCAAAAGGTAACTTCGCATGTGAAAATGGAGCATAAAACTCAACTAGGTACCATTCATCCCTAAAGACAAAACAAGATAAACGTCACAAATGGTAAACAGATATAGCACAACAGCACAAGAAATTAACTCTTTAGTGGAGAGGAGATGCCAAAAGCACGTATATCCAGTCAAGGGAAAGGAAAAGATTAAAAAAAGAAAAAGAAAAAGAAGAATTTTCTAAACACAAATCTTTCTCCATGAACATATTTAAATATACTCACTTAACCACAGAAGCAAAAAAGATGCTGTTGCTACTGCTTGCATGTATATGAAACAATGGCAAGGCAACACAATGGAAAAAGCTTTACCGGAATATGCTGATCAGTTTCTGACATGTGCTTGTATAAAGAACTTATTCGCTCGGACATATATTCCTGATAATCTTCTGGTAGCTGTACTTGTGGCACAAACGCAATTAAATCATTGCACGCAATATTATTCAGTGAATAATTTTAAAATAAAGTTTTTCTGATATTATATCCGTTCATGGATCTAGAGACTTTAAACTAGCTATTTTCATCCCCAGATTTTGTTTCTTTTCTTGTTATCAATAAGCTGAGAGAATTTTCTAGGGCAAATGACCTTTTTCGTCATTCACCATTAACTCATCATCTTATTTTGTCCATTGCATGTATAAAGAACTTATTAAGTCCTTCAACTTATGAATTAGGTTTCAAAAGGCTTCTAGAAAACATTTCTTCTAAATTAACATAATATCACAATAGAAACACGAGTTCTCCATGGGCTATAGATCGAAAGAGTTAGAAGTCTAGATCTGCAACCCTAAGTTGATCACAATAGACCAAGTACATAGGATGGAAAGAATCCATCCACCTTTTGCATTATCCAGGCAAAATTTGATGACCAATTTTTTTTTTTCCTAAATCACATCGAGAGAAAGAGAGGACGAGGGAGAGAGAGAGAGAGAGAGAAACAGACAGCAAATGGCCAGAGCTATAGATTCAATAATGAGAGAGGAAAAGAGAGAGCAAATAGGTATAATTACTGACAAATACATCGAAATAGACCAGGCCACTAATAAATCTAACGTGCCTCTATCTTCAAGTCATCGAAAAACTTAAAACCACACCTGCAAGTAATTTCACCCATTTACACTTTCCATCGGATACGATCTCTAGCTCTTTCTATTTGTGCTCTCTCTCTCTCTCTCTCTCAACACACACACAAACACACACACATATATATATATGTATGTATGTATTTATATGTATATATGTGTATGTATATGTACATGTATGTGTTTGTGTAGTATATGTGTGTGAATATGTGTACATATATATGTGCAAATTTAGAAAGAATGAAGTTGATTACCAAATTTTGTCCTAATAATGCATTATGTGTTAGACCCTTTCCCTTTTATTTACTTAATCTGTTGTGATTAACCAAGGGTGCAGGTTTAGGCTTTAATAATTTTTATCATTGCCCTTGGAGAACTTTCACGTCTCTCACTTGATTGGCATCTATCAAGCCAATTTGGATAGAATTTTGCTCAGGCACCTTTTTTAAGACCCAATAGGCAATTCGAAAAACACAATAGGTTCTATTTAAACTAAAGAAACAAAATAGGGTCATGAGTTAAACTGTTGAATGAGGTTATCTATCCACCCTTCCCATAAAAGTAAAGAGACATGAAAAGAAGATGAGAACAGGCCATTAATTTAAAACCCATAAAGTGTCATATTTATCACTAATACAAGACCCAATAAGTTTGTATTTGACAGAAAATGTGTGACAAAATAAATTTTTGCAAAGAATAAGTGATTGACAAATAAATTTTTGCAAAGAATAAGAGACTGACAGAGATTGAATACTTTCTATAAGGAGACTTTGCTCAAAGTATCACAACTTTTATAGTTTAGCACAGAAAGGAGCCAGTCCTTAATACATTACCATCATGTTGATTTAGGAATTTTAGGAAGGAATTTCGTGTCCGAATTATTGTTGGTATGAATTTCAATTAAAAAAAAGGATTCCAAATAATTGTTGACATATGTAATTTACATCAAATTGTTTTAAACTACGAGTCAATGAGAAATCTTTAAATCTTCAAAAACTGTACTCAATATTTATTTCTATTTATAAAACACCCAAATTCATCATATACAAAAATTAAAATTCGATCAGAGCAATATTGGAGAACCAAATATGATTTAGTCATAAATACCTTTTTTCTTGATTCAAAACGAGGGTTCATTTATGATGTTTGCAATTCATTTATACCTTCAACTTCCAACCTTATCCTTCTGAAAATATTTGTCAAATTGGTGTCATTAAAAAAATTTTCTTTCATCAAGTTAGGTTTTTAACAATAAAGTATTCCGTTATTTCCTTCTTAAAGTTGAAAGTAAGCCAATCCAAGTAAAATTTGTACCAACACAGCTAATAAAAGTAAGTTATAGAAAAGCCTTGGATCCTCAATTGCGTCAAATGGTACTGCCATATTGTCTCCACCGAAATTATACATCTCATTGGAACTTAACTTAGCATAACAGGTTAATTTAAGAGATTTAGGTAAGCAAAGCTTCAAAATAGGAGTACTCCTATCCTGCTTAGACGTTCTCCATGACTCCAATAACAAGGATGCATTCTCTCAATCTTGAAAGTTCGGAGGGAATTGAGAAGGTCCACTTCCTCGTAGTACTAATGCATATAGGCTGGTGTGATTCGACATTTTCAAAGAACAAGTACAAAAGCACAACAACTACTTACCGGCTTCATTATAGACATGGTACCATTTCCACTTGTATTCAGTATAGCCCCTCATAGTCTATGTACACAATGTGATCTAAGAACTACTACGCAAGGTTACTGCTTGTTGGGATGAAATGCTGCGTCTCATAACATTTGCTACTGATTTTTATTTTCTTTAAGTTGACAACTTGGCATAAAACATCATCTCCAAAAAAAAAAAAATTGTTGCAGAATTAGCACTGTTGATGACATTGGTACTTCCTCAAATTGTGTGTATCTTTGTCTATCTAAGATTTGCTGTGCTTCCAAGTTCCAAGGATCTATTATTTGCACCTCCGGACGAAATAATATCTAAACCCCTTCAGTCAAACTCATTAAAAAACTGCACTTATTGGTAAAAATTGATTTCATAAGAACGGACATAAAACCAGATAAGGGATCCCTGATCCCTTAGCCCTGACAAAAGCTTGAGAACATGCTTGGAATGATTAATGGCCAATCCGTTGTAAAAGTGGACAAAAAATCTGATTAATATGATACCGTTTTGCTGAAGAGAGACAGATAGAGATTATGAGCAGATCAGGTGCGAATGTTGATGGTAAATGTACCTGGAACTTGAGAGTTCATGAAGCTACCCCGGATCAGTGCAACTTCGCATCACAAAGAGCTGAGATAGCTCAAAGGCCTTCTTGAGAACTCCCCTTCTCCTCTTTGACAATGTCACTTGTCTGCTTGTTGCACTTTCTATCCTCTTAATCTGAGTTTTCCCTCTCAACATTCTTACAATTGTAGATAAGAAACGAGGTGCTAAATCCACCGACAAGCCTGAAAGACAAATCAATGATACCATAAAGGGTCAAAGTGCAAACAACAAAAAACACTTGATCAAGAAAAATCTAAAATAAACACATGAACAAAAAAGTTTCCAAAAAACGGCAAGAACCCGGAGGGAGTGGCACTGATTGACCCCAAAAAATGGAAAACCAGACAATATCTTTTCTGGGAAGTCTCAGATCTGCAAGATGGGAGATGACAGAAGCTGGAAAATATTGGGTAGGCAAGACACTAGTAGAAACCCTAAAGAGAGATTTTTTAGGCAAGATGTACAGAGAAATGATATTCTTCAATATCTTTGTAGTCTTTTTCTTTTTTTTTTTTTATCTCATAAGTCTCAAATCTCAACCACAGAATAATCAGTAAAGCGCGTGTTTTCTTTCTTTCTTGGGATAAAACTAAACGACGTTCCATTACCAACCGAGTTTGATGATTTTGCCCGTACAATTTTGGCAAGATGTCACTGTCCGTCGAGGACTTGTGTCACTGTTCGTTCGTACGGCGTCACGTGCTTGTGTACGCTTCTGGCTGCAGTCGGCTCTTACCACTTGTTAATGACTCTGACTTTTCTTTGTCATTTGCATTTTTTGTGGTAACGAATTTTTCTACTATGAGAAGTGTCTCATTATCCTCGATTGGTATGGCTAGTTGGGACCTGTCCTTCCTTTGATTTTTTATTTTTGTGGAATAATGCATTGGCATTTTTTTTAAAAATAGTGATCCTGAAAATATTTGCAAATCATTTATTGTGTTCTTCTTTTTTAATATATTAGGACCTTGAGGATGAACAAATGAGAATGGAACTTGCCACATACTCCCTAAGGAAAGTTGAATATCTTTCAAGACAATGTGGCAGTTAGAGAAGGAATAAAGGAGAATTGAGTATGACATATACTGAGAAAAGATAAATGTATATCAAAACAAAGTAGCAATTGTATGATGGTTAGTCTGTAGTGATAAAATCAAAAGTTGAGTTTTGGGGCTAAATTAATAAGGATGTACATTTGAGGTTGTTGAAAAGGTCTTGATCTAAGGCACCATTTAGATTGAAGGAAATGGAAGAAAAGGAAAGGAGTGAACTCTAATAGAAAAGAAATGAAAGAAGAGTAAAGTGAGGTGGATTCTATCCATCTTGTTTGGATTAGATACGAGAGAAAAAAAAATGGAAATATTGAAAATATTATTTGGATTAAGGAAGGAAAGGAAAGTAAAGAAGCTATCATGCATTTGTTACATTTCTATCCATAATTTACAAATCTAATTTATAAACATATTAGGTATTCTAGGAAAATTTTAAATTCTCATTCATCTTAATTTCTTTTCACTTCATTTTTGTGCACGTTTGGATGGAAAAGAGGCTCATAAAAAATAACGAGAATGATCCCTTTCTTTCCCTTTCTATCCTTTCTCTCCCTTCTCAAAATTCAATCAAATATTAAAAACTTTATGCTTCATTTCCTTTCTGTCTCATCCCCTCAAAACAAACAATGCCTAAAAGTTAAGAATGATACCAAAAATTACAGGTTTTAGATACAAATGTTCATCCCTGTTTTTTTTTTAAATATATATTTGAGGTACCCTTGCATATTTGTAAAAGGCTTATGGGTAAAATCTAATTTTTAGAAGGATATAATTTTGGCATCTTAAGTAAATATAAAGCAATTTATCTTATCGCCCTTTTTCTTTTTATCTGCCAGTGACCCTATCAACATCTAATGCCAGTAAAATCTGCATCCAACCTTTTGCATCATTTTAACGGTAATTCTATAAAATAAGACGGCATAATAAGGCAGTAGGCCAATAGGATTTAATAATACAAAAGGACGCAGCCATACACAACTTTGTTTTTTCCGATATTAGATACTTCCTACTTCTCATTATCCAAGCATTATATATGCCCCTAAAAATACCTGAAAGTTGGATCTATACAAAAGAAGTAAAGAAAACAAATTATACAAAGTCACGTAGATTGATATATTGTTTATTTTTTCTTTTTTCTTTTTTTTGACAATTTTAACTATCAGGAAGTCCGATAAACAGCTGCGTTTCTACCTCTTTTCCTTGTTCTAGTGATAAGAATTGTTGACCAATCGATAGTTCCAACTGTCGCTCTTCGTACTGCAAATTCATTTTCCAAAAAAATATAAATTACCAATAAATAGCTTTGGCATATGCAAACTAAACATTAATGGTAGTAATACTTCTGGGGGTGATAAATCTTATAGCCCATCAGCTTAAATCCTCAACATTGATTACATTATTGTTACCATTAAAAGTTATACAATATGTGAATTTGAAATAAATGTTTGTAGTTTCAGACCTTATCTAATACTTTTTTTTTTTTCAAGTTTTCGCTTACATTGGAGTTCCTTTCAAAGAATTTGGTTATTTTGTTAAAAAAAAATTGAATCGATATACTGACTTCCAGCGTCCATACCTATCCAACATCATAAAGTTGGAATAGACTTTTTATTTGTGGTCATTCTAGATATATATAAATTAATAACGTTATGAGTAACAAGAGTGACTTACCTTTTCCCGTAATTCCGCATTTTCCCTCCTAAGAATTTTCTCCTGAATTTGACAAGATATGCAAAGAATATTAGCCATGCCAATTAACATGAAATGCATAAACTTTATTTCGGACTAAAATGTGAATGAAAGAATAAGCAACTCCTGAAGCTTCAAATGCGTATTTTACCTCTTCTTTCAGCTGATTTATTTGCTCGCAAGAGAATAGGATCTGCAAAAGAATTGAACATTCGATTTTGACCATCAAATTCTACATTCTGATCATGTAATTGTAGAGATGTCTATCGCAAAACGTACCTTTCTTGACCTAATGATGCTTAAACTTTTCTCCAACTGATGTTCTATTTGTTCCAACTCATCAATAGAGGAGGAATCCAAACCATCTCCCAAGAACTTTCTGCTACATACAAAAATTATGTTGTTTTAAATCACCAAAAACTGTAAGAAATTCATGTTGTTATACGATAAGGATGAGTTCTGCTTAAAACTTGAACAAATGTGCCAATGTTAGGACACCACCGTTTAGTTTCTTCAAGAAGCTCAATTTTTTTCCTCAGGTTTGCAACCTCTTCTTCAAAATGCTGCACAAATAAGAGTATGCTCAGCAAGGATCAAAAGATTTAGCAGAATAAATCCGTGGACAAGATCTTTAAGGCAAAGAATCAGTTGGCACTGATCCATGATCTTGAATGAGATTCTCAGAATCAAGAAATCAAGTGAATGTAAGACATTACGGCTATTCAATAATAGTTCAGAAGAATCTTGACTGCCATTCCGAGAAATCAAGAAAGTGAATGCCAAGAAAATGCTTATTTTGGACTTTGAACGTGATATGGCTAAATTTGTGATCTTTTTGAATGTGTTTCCTATTGTTTTTGAGTCAATTTGTAAGATTAATTGGTATAAGATTTTCATTTTTGTCTTTAATTTGCATTTTAAATTGATAGATGAATTAGTTGTGATTTTGTCATTTTATTTGCAAAATCTCTTTATTTTTGTAGGTAAAACGATCAAACTCAATTGGAAGCAAAATGGTGATCTAACAAAGCAAGAATTAGAAACTTGAAAAAGTCACAACAATGTCTAAAGTAGGTGATGCAATTCAAGGATATTTCTTTAAAAAAAGAAAGAGAGAGAGAGAAAATCTCGAGGGTTACTCTGTGGATTCTGCAAGGGATTATAGGCAGAATATCCATTTAGCAAAGAATCACATGTTCTGCATAATCTCTGGGAGAATCCCTCACGGGATTCATGACAGCTGCAAGTTGCAAGTTGCTAACCTGCATGACTTTTGTTTCTTTCTCCGTCATTGACAAGACAAAAAGGGATAACTTGTATCAACTTATGGGAATCTAAAAGCTTCTTTTCTTGACTCTTAACAAGGAAGAAACACATTATTGAGAGGGAATATTAGCTCTTGGCAAAAAGTAGAATTTTCCTTCTCTTTCCTCTCTATAGCTTAGTTTTTAGTGTACTTTTAGATCTAGTTCTTATTTCCTTTGAAGAACTTTAAGAACTCTTGATGTAATAATGTATTTTTTATGGCAATGAAGATAATGAAACTTGAAGATCTTGTCTCTTTACTTGAATAAGCATTTCTTTCTCTTCACTCTCTTTATTGTTTCATTGATGCTTAGTTACATTGAAGATATGAACTTTGTTGTTAAATTTACTATGTTTAGTTAAATCTTCTTGTTCTAGGGATAGATTAACCTATTTGAGCCTTGATTATGATTGAATAAAGTGATTATTACTATATTCCCTCGTTCTACATTATCAAGTTTTTGGCAATTCATAGCCTTTCATACAACTAATATTTGGTACCAGGACACAATTGAACCTTAATACCCGCTATTCAAATAATTCAAAAGGTAATTCCACTTGTGAAAATGGTGCGTAAAACTCAACTAGATGACATTCTTCACTAAAAACAAAACAAGAGAAACATCACACAAATGGTTATAAGCACATAAAGCACAGCCACACAAGAAATTAACTCTTTAGTGAAGAGGACATGCAAAAAGAACATATATCCAGTCGAGGGGGTAAAAAATGAAGAAGATGCTTCCCAATACGAAACATTTTCCATGAACATAATTAAAGATACCGACTTAAATCCAGAAGCATAAAAAGACACAGCTGCTACTGCTTGCATGATCATTCTCTAGGAAACAACGCAAGGGAAAAACAGCTACAGCTATAGGTTTACTAGCAACTGCAGTAGCAACTCATAATGAAACAAGATTTACCGGAGTATGCAGATCAGTTTCTGACTGTAAATGTTCTACATCCATTCGTTTGCTTGGACGGAGATTCTTGATACTCTTCCGGTAGCGCTCTATTGTACTTGCGGCACTAAAATCATTTGAAGGAACCACCATGTGGTCAAAGGTACAAGTTGCAAATACTAAATTACGTCAACAGAAATTTATGTAATGACAAAAGGGCAATCAATGGTTTGATTCAGTTTCCATTCGGCAAGACCCAAAGCTTATGAATTCAAGATCTAAATGTGCATGCACATATACTTAACACGGGGAAAATGTTATGGTGCCTAACAAGAAATGAATGTCAAATTTGGTTCAAACGTTAGGAAGTTGCGGTGTGCAACTAGCAAGTCTCGTTGTGAATGACAAGATGTACCCACTTATCATCCAAAAAACCTAATTTCATCATAACTAGGAGAAAACTTACTATAGTTACCTAACAAAACATATTACTAGCATAACAAAATTTGTCACTCATGTTTTTGGTGCCTTCAAGGTATCACAAATTTTTCCTTAACACCAATACATGTGTATTTACATTCATTTTACCTTTTAAGGCTTCCATAGGATTACTTAAAATGACCTAATTATGGTTTTTAGTTTAAATTTCAAGTTATTTCAATGTGTTATCTTACTATTCATAGCTTATTCAAAGTTGAAAATAATACGATATATTAGTAGCTTTGTTGAATGTATTGAAACATCTAAAAAGCTCTATGTGAAAATCACAACCCACCTAGACAAAGTGCAGTAAAGACATTTATCAAGCCTTCTTACTTCATTATTAAAAATAAAAACCACATTATACAAAATTGCACGAATACATATATGTTCTAATTTAGTGAAAATTTATTAAAGTATATATTATATTTCACTTGATGCAGTTTTATTCGAATCTTATATTTTTTTTTAACATAACAGAGAATTAAAGCTGAGTATCTATGATGTTAAGCTCAACTAAATTGGGAAGGTGAATCGATCTAGTCTTTCATTTAGTTTAAGCTGAGAGGATCCTTCACCATCTGAATAGAGGATTTCAACTGGCAAATTCTGCTGAACAGTGTTAAAAACTAACATGTTCTTAAGCATGGAAACTCATTCCTCTTCCAGTTTGTATTGCTGTTTAACTGGACAACAGGTAACAGGAAATATGCTATTGATGGAAGGAGCAAATTTGGTTAAAAATCACACTAATGCAATTAAATTAATCAACGGTCCATTATTCAGGGAAATAATTTTAAAATAAAATTTCTCACCCTGATTCCGGATATTGTGTCAGTCCTCTAATGGATCTAGATATTCTAAACTAGATTTTTTCATCCCCAGATTTTGTTTATTTTTCTTGTTATCAATTCTCTGAGAGATCTATGAGCTTTTCTCAAGAAACTTACTTCTGCCCGTCTCCCTCAAATGCACATACCTTAGAGGTAAGGCTAATTAGTCCTCTATTTCAGTCCTTAGGTTGACATTTGGCAGTAGATTTCTTCATTAATACCAAGTGAGTAGTTGAAACCAGTAAAGCAAAAACAGCCACACCCTATATTTACAGTGGCAGAGCCAAATAAATTTCTTAAAGGTTCACAAATAAAATTCACCAGTGTCTAATGAACTCGTTAAATCACTAGAGTTTTTTGTTACCTTATAACCCCTTAAAACAATGGTTTTAGTTGTTGTGGTTATTAAACATATGGCTTACACATGTTATTTTATTAAAAGTTCTTATCATTAAACACACGTACACATTGACCTACTGCGAATTAGTGAATAGAAGATAGATAAATTCTTCTAAAATTTAATATCTAAATTAATAATTTTTCTTTGATCAGTTCGGGCACGTTAACAAATTACTAATGTGAAATCAAATTTTTTTTTTTTGAAATTATCATATTTATTATTAATTTTTTTAGCCTAGTAGGGGCACATTGACTATATGTAGATATGGCCATGCCGCAGAACCCAATTGTCTCAACTCTCAATACCCCATTGCAAGATAAACGGGTCTCGAAGTCTTTACATTCGTTTGGGATGAAATGAGATGGAGAGAAGAAAAAACAAAAAAATATATCAATGCATGGGAAAGAGAGAGAGAAATGGAATGGTTATACCTAAAAGAAAACTTAATTCATAGGGTAAATGATTTCATCCTTCCTTCACCATTGGCTCATCTTCTTATTTCATCACTCAAGTTCATAAAGAACCTACTGTGTCTTTTGCCTTATGAATTAGGTCTCAAAAGGCCCATAAAACACACTTCGCCCAAATTGGCATGATGGACAATAACCACGAAAGAAACACGAGTTCTCTATGGGCAACAAACAGAAAAAGTTAGACATCTAGATTTGGAACCCTAAGTTGACCACAATAAACCAAGTACATGGGAGGGAATGAATCTTGCCACCTCTTGCATTATTGGGGCAAAATTTGATAATCGAGACCCTTAATCATTTGCTCACGTCAATCGAAAAACTTAAAACCATTCTTGCAAGTCATTTCACTCATCTTCCCTCTCCATCTGATCTCTAGCTCCTGCCATTTGATCTTTTGATCTCCCTCTCTCTCTCTATCTCTCTCTCTCTCTCTCTCTCTCTCTCTACTTATATATATATATATATATATATATATTTATGTATGTATCTATGTATCTATGTATATTTTATGTATAACATAATATACATACACACACATACAAATGCATGTATATATATATATACATATACATACATATGATAAGTGACTAATTTACGTAATAATTGTATGACATTTTTATATTATTTTTAGTCACTTTGCTTAATATTATTGGAAAATATATCATTTTGGCTATAATCTGGTGAATAAATGTTTTTAAGTGATTAAATGAGGTTTTTATCACTTTTTACTTGGATTTTGTGTATTTTGACAGTTTTGACACATTTCGATTTCGGCTATAACTTGAGTTACAATGATCGGATTGGGATGATTCTTGAACCCATTTGAAGATAAGAGATAGATCTACAACTTTGGTGAAGACATCTAAATCCAGTTTGAAGGTTTTCCAGGTCAAAATGCCGAATACAATAGCAAATTTCTACTGGTCGAAGCTGGAACAGGCCAATGAGCAGGCAAGGGTATTTCATCATATCTCAGCTAACACAGATCCAAATGAGGTGATTCTTGATGCATTAGAAAGATAACTCAAAAGGCTACAACTTTCGTGTTTTAGACATGAGCTGGTTCAGCCTCTAACATCAAGAAAAGATTGGTTGAAGTTGGGCCAAAAACAGAGCAAGTGATCCACACTCGGATCCACTATTCATCCGAACCCTCGGTTGTTTCTGGGTTAGTGGATCCGAGCTCGGATCCATACGGATCCGAGGTACTGTAGCAGCTCGGATCACAGGTCAGAAAAGGCTGCTCTGTACGCGTAAAACTCAATTTCACCTCCACCAATTCACATTGGATGCTATACATGTGAGAAACATTCCCAGCTGTAAAAGGGAGATGTAATCCTCATTTCTTGACCACCTTTTCATCATAAAAGAGCCAAATTCATTGCAAAAAGAGATTGGAGAGATTGGAGTCCATAGGAGAAAAATAGAGAGTGAGCTACGGGAGAAGCTTGAAGCTGCAGAAATGTAGCTCTTTCATCTCTCTAGTGTTAGTTTAGCTTAGTATAGAGTAGTGTAGCTTTCCATTCTTGTTTATTATCTAGATTAGGATGAAGATGGAGGATGAAGAAGGCAAGGAAGAAAGCTCATGTGACAAGGGTTGTATTCCTTCCAAACTCTTTATCTTTTGTATTTGATTCCAAATTTAGTTAATATACAAGTTCTGGATTTTGTGTTCAATATGTGTTTCTAAAGTTTATACCTTGGGTTTGGTTGAACTTTCTATAATTGTTAGTGTTTATTATTTGGTTATTTGACTGCTATGATTTGAGCAAGTTATTTAGCACTTTAGCTCTTGAAATCATGATTAATCTGGTACCATTAATTGTGATTATCTAAGGTGTTGTTTCTGCAATGAAAATTGAGATTTAACACTAGTTCAAGAAGTGCTAAACATAGGGAGTACACTCACGAAAGTAGAGGTGCACTTATGTGGTTTTTAGTGATTCATTTCATGTAATTTCATTGAAGAAATGAACTTGTAGCTAATTTCATAACCATGAAAATAGGTATGGATTAGTTATAGGTATAATTGATTCACTACGAAAGTAGGATTCAAATGCATAAGGAAATTACACCATAATTAGCCTAAATGTAGTAATTAATGATCCAAATATAGCACTTGCATGAGTAGTTAGGGATACCACAACCTAAGGAGCTTTTATTTGTTATTTTGTATAATTTGAGTAGGTAAAATTTGTTATATTTCATTGATAGTCTAAATAATAGAGAAGCTTTAGTAGTACCGGTAATTGCAATCTTCCTTGTGGGATCGACCCTTAATACCCTATACTCGCTCACGATTCGTATACTTGCGATAAATCGCGTGTGGGGTATTTAGGAGTTTATAAATGTAAAACTTGATTAGGATGAGCTTAATTGTATATGTATACTCCGCGCACATCAAGTTTTTGGCGCCGTTGCCGGGGAAGATTTGGCAATATCGGTGTGAAAAACAACTTTATTAATTTAGACAATTTCACTTGTTTTTGTTGGTTAAGGTCTTGTTTGTTTTGAGTCTTGTTGAGTCTTTTATGTTTAATGTCTTGTTTTTGTATGTTTAAAGTCATCTATTCTTCTTGACTAAACTTGTTTTTGAGCTACTTTGAGAGCATGTTTAGGGGATCAAGGAGAGTAGAAAACAGGGGAGGACAATGCTTGAGAAATGTAGGTTTGACAATGGATGGTTACCAAGTGCAAAGCTCCTTCAACAGAGGTAACCAAGAATTTACTGAATGTATGTCTTTTGAAGATGGTTTAAGGTGCTTAAAGGCAAAATTTGATGTAATTAAGTTACAAGTTCAAATGGACACCATGATGCATGAAATTGAGCAGAGAAGGAATGTTAATGCTTTTAATTCTTATCATGTGATTTGTGACTTGTGTGGAGGTTATCATGCTACTAATACATGTATGCAAGCACAAAATGTGGATTATTATGATGAATTAGAGCATTACAATCCTTGTTTT